TCCAAGTCAGCGAGTGTATGGGCGAGTAGTATTTTCAGAGACGGTAATAGCGCCAGCACTTACCATGGGAGTATTTGTGGGTTGTTGGTCGAGTCGGCGGCGAGAGAAATGTTGAAGCTCATACTTGTCTTCGTCAAATTTCAAGCCCTGCTCTATGCCCCATTCCATGGCTTCCTGGAGGCTGAGTGAAAGAGATTCGGAATTTTCCTGGAGGGATGGAGAGGTGTGAAGGAAGGCGATATCGTCTGCGTATCCAAATCTTGTTTTGGCGGTTCCCATGTGGAGAAGAGGTGCAAGATATAGCATGAACAGAATAGGTGATGCTGGCGAGCCTTGTGGGAGGCCACAGGAGACATCAAATTCGGGACCGGTAGAGCCATCTAGACGAATCTTGGCCACGCGATTGGAGGCGAAAGAGGCCACCCACTTTACCAAATTATCAGGCCATCCTTGGTCTCTAAGTCGATGGACTAGTCGGCCAGGAAGTACGCTATCAAAAGCACCCCTCACATCAAGCGTCAGGAGGGAGGCAGTGAGCTTACTATTCAGTGCTGTTTCGATGTCATGTACTAAACAGGTCGTCAAATCTGTGGCCGAGCGGAGAGGGAGGGCACCAAAGTGTTGTGAGGCTGTTATCTTTGCTCTGATAGCTGTCCAAGAGAGGCGGCGGGCGATCACTCGTTCAAGGCCTTTCCCCAGGGTCGAAAGGAGAGCACAGGGTCGAAAGGAGAGCAATGGGTCGGTATGAGCGTGGGCTAGATCTATCTGTCTTGTTGGGCTTGTTTAACATAACCAGCACAGCGGTCTTGAAGCAAGCAGGGTGGTGTCCAGCCTGGAGGCAGCCTCTAAAAAGATCGCAGACCCGAGTTTCGATTAGTGGCCAGCCAATTTTTAGGATTGCCGTTGGAATTTCGTCCTCCCCGGGTGCCATATTGCCTGATCTAATGACCGAGTCCTTGATTTCGGTCAGGGTTAGGTCTGGGAAAGGAAGGCTATTGACGCCGACTGATGGTGTATCTAATGGAACATCTATTGCATCAGAGGCATTTCGCAATAGGTTCCGAACTAGTACTTCTCGCTTTTCTTGAAGTGTGTTTGCAGGTGAGGCACCGGGGTTGGTTGGATCTTTGAGAGGTGGGGTGCGAAAGGATCCTACTGTTCGGTGCCAGTTAACGATCCCAAACACGTCTTTTGCTGTATTGGCATGACTTATCTTGTCCTGAAAAAACTTTCGCTTTGCCCTACGTACTGCAGCGCGCAGTAGCTTTTTCCTGGCAGTGATATCATTTTGATTAGCCGAGCTTCTTCTAGCCGTTCGGTAGGCCTGTGCAGCGTTTCTGCAGTCGTTGTTCCACCAAGGTTGCCCGGTCCCCTTTCCAAGGGCTCGCTGCGCAGATGCTCTACAGGCATTCTGGAGGGCCGTACAGATGCCTTTAGCGAAGAAATCTAGAGAATTAGGCTTTGGGTTTACGGGGAGGTTTTCTAGCCCTGCAATCTCCAGTTCGAGAAGGGAAAGGAAAAGTTTTTCGTCGAGCCTGCTGATTTTGAGGCGAGATATTGGCTCCTGGAAGCGGCTATACCACGGAATTAAAGATGCAATAGGAAGATAGTCAGATGTGACGTCCAGCTCCGGTACTATTGAAGATTCCGCTCCCGAGAGCATCAGCGGGTTGGAGGCAAATGCAAGGTCTAACACGCTACCGCGGCTATGCGTTGGAATATCCAATTGAGAAATTAAAGTAAGATTGAGACTATCTATCCACCTGATAAACGGTTCCGCTAGTGGACTATTAGTTGAGGATGATGCTTGCCACCGCGTATGCCTGAGGTTTAAGTCTCCAGCGAGGAAAATTCGGTTAGAATTACTTGGGAAGGTGAGATCAAGGAGGGCTCTAACGGCCTCACCCCCATTTTTTGAGCCGGCAGGGGCATTGTAAACATTCACTACTAGAAGTTTTGCTCCAGATGGTGCAGTAACTTCCAAGAAAAGGAGATCTCTCGCAGCTGTGCTTATTAAAGGGAGGGGCCGTTGTTGACATACTTGTAGTCCCGCCCCTTTGCGTATATACGTGAGCACTCGAGGCCGGGATGACCAGTCATCCGTGGGGGTAAAGCACTCATAGTTGGGATTAAATTTGGTGATGCGGCGCTGTCGGTCAGTGAAGATATAGGGCTCTTGAATGAGAACAATGTCAAATCTTTCTTCATTCGCAAAGGTAAGTGCAAGCTTATGTGAAGAGGCTCCCCTACAGACGTTGATCTGTAGAAGCCGTAGCGGCCCTATAGACCTGTGCCGTCTAGACTTCATTTTCGACGTCTAGGACAGAGTAGCGGTTCCCAAGGAAGACCGTGGGACGTGAGGGTGGAGGAGAGGTGGTCCGAACAAGCTGGGTCGAGCTCGGGGATCCTTCAAGCATTAGTGGGCCGGAAGGCGTGTTAGAGGGGTTTGTCGCATGTTTGTAGGTGAGAGTTTGGCCCGAAGGAGTGTCAGTCATTTCCTCGTCTACTGTAGCGGGAGTGGTGCGGTCACGGATGCAGCCAACAGTAGTGCACAGACCCATTCTTGCTGCGGCAGATGTACTGCGGATTTGGGCTACTTGCCCCTTTGTCAGCTTTATACCATTTGACCGGGGTCTGAGTAGGCACTCTGGTGCGTCGGCTGGATGTGGACCATGGCAGTGGATGCATCGGGGTGGGCAGGGATGTTGGTGCGGTCCACATGGAGTGTGGGTTTCCTCTGTATGCTCAACTGAGCCACAGAGACGGCAGCGTGGAGCGCGAGCACATATACGCTGGTTATGCCATTGAAAACATCTGCCACATTGAGCAATATTAATTTTCTTGGACAGTTTGCGGCAGTTGATGCCCATCCCAAAAATATGAAATCTTCGTGGGAGGTGAGAGCCTATAGGGAAGCGAGCAATAAATCTAGCGGAAGGATCGTAAGGGGATGCAATACTCCCTTTGGTTTCGACTACAATTGTAGGATTAAATCCTTTTTCTTCTTTAAGCTCCTTGAGGACGAGCTCTGAGGTGATTGGCTCCTTGACGAGTCTATTATTGTCGTCTAAAGTGGTGAATGTGCGAGGTACAGACGTAATAGGATAACTGTCCAGGTTTTGAGCTTTTTCGATGCCCAGAACACCTGGGAATCTCCCTTCCCCGATGCCCTGGACGAAAAGATCTTCCAGCCTTGGTAAGGCCGCTTCTGAAGAGGGACGGAGTGCCAGGCCGGATGGAATATGCTGCACTTCTTTCAACAGGGCGGAGTTCTCTCCAAGGAAATTCCGGAGTTGAATGAAAAGGGAGTACGCTGATACTAGGCGTTCAGTTGCATTTTCATCAAGGCGTAGGAACAATCTGTCGTCTAAAGGCAGTGATTTGGCCTGTTTTTGGGGCTTAGCAGGTTTTGGCTTCTGGGGGGTACTTAATGCAGCATTGCCTTTCGGTTTTCCTGCAACTTGCGCATAGGAATGCCTCGCATGGGCAGCTGGTTTTGGCTGAGATATAGGAAGACGATCAGTTGTTGCAGGAATTGGTACACCACGCACATGGCTTTCGAAGAATTCTTGTGCAACAGCTTGCATACGTGTCAGGAAATCGTTAAAAGATTTCTGTAAATGAGGAGGGATTGTTGGGGCAGCGGTGCCACGAGTGACGTTATCTAATGCTGCAGCCACGCCGCCAAATAAAAGAGTTGCTTCCTGCGTTCTAGTGTTGGCTGCGGAGGTTGCTTCAATGAGGGTCTCTGTCAATGTCTTTGATGCCCCTACCGATAACGGGGGAATAGGAGGGGGAGGGGGATCTGGCATTTTTCGCAATGTATGGGGTAAGAATGTTACGATTGCTTGGAGTATGATAAGAAGGTATGAATAGCTTCTACGTCAAAGCTAGATAGTTGAGGGAATATTGAGGGGTCATTATTTCCTTAATAATATTCATATTACTTAACGACGTGCCTGCGCGTAGCACGTGCTCTGAGTTGCCAGATGGGATGTTTGTTTTCTATTTTTCGTCCGTCGGGGCGCCAAGCTTGACTTAGGTCCCTACTACCCACTAAACTACCTAGAGGCATGGACGCCAGTGCTTACTGCCCTGGTGGCTTCGCTCTTGCTACTTCCTAACTAGGTTTGCAGGGCAATTCCCTATTTACATGATTGCGTGTAGCATAGCACCAGCACTTTTTCAGCCAGTCCCCGAGGCTCTTTACTCATTTGATGTATAACAACCACTCTCGAGATACTACTAATAGATCCATTTATAAATACCGCACCATCCATCCATAATGCAAGGCTCAGAGTTGGGGCAGAGTTGAAGACCTATTTATTTCTTCTCTGGGGTTTCTAGGGCAGGTCTTTATGTAAAACTCTGAAATAGAAAGCCACTTTGCTACACCTAGGGCCCCTTCCCAGGTTCCTAGCAAAGATTTCTTTGGCTCCCTTGAAGACGCTGGAGCTCGAGGAGGTCTATGAGCGGTTAGGTGGCACCCTAGGAAGTGCAATGGGGCTTTGAGCTGTCCGCAGCCACAATGAAGGTTAGCGCCCTCGTGATTGAAACGGCGGTGGTACTCTGCAAAGTCACCATGTCCTGAGCGGGCAGCGTATAGTCCGAAGAGAAATGGTCTGGGTAGGTTGTCATATGGGAAATGGCTAGACAATCAACCGAGCAGATACATCGGCCCTTAAAGGTCACGTGAAAAGGGTGTAGTCGGTGAATCGGCATTGACTGTTCGGCTTCAGAAATGACATCAACAGCGTGATACCACATACAGCGGCTGAGCAATTTTCAACTAATTCAAATTACTGGTCTTCAAATAACGTAATCATTCTTAAAAATCACAGGGTCAGTATAGATCCAGAGAATTCAAAAGATCGTAGCGCCATTATATAGCTGAGGATATCAGAGTGCGATATAGGATAAGAAATAGTCACGAAACGCCAACTCAATGTCTTTCTATCCAAAAGTATTTATTTGAACCTCAGGATTTTCTGAAGTTGAACATGAGCATTTCTCAAACCGCAAATCACTATTTTACTCACGAGAGTCGAGTAGCATCCTTCAGGAAAGCACAGCCTATCACTCAACGTAGATCTTCCAACGTGAGCCTCAAAGGGCCCAGATCTTTGAAATGGCCTCACAAATTTTTACCCGCCCAAGATGTAGCTATATTAAATCCAGACTCTTTTTCTTGCTGACATTAGTATAGCTCGCCGGTGCAGGGTTTTTCTATTATCCTACCCACATGAACCCAGACAACGTCGCCTGCTTTCTCTGCCATAGAGCCCTTGATGGGTGGGAAGAGACCGACGATCCTTTTGTTGAGCATCTCAAACATTCCCCCGATTGCGGCTGGGCTATTACTACAGCGATTGGGAGATTAGGTGGAAGCTTGTACGAACAAGACCCACTTAGCTCTAAGTTGCTGGAGGCGCGAAAAGCAACATTTGCCGACAAATGGCCTCACGAAGGGAAAAAAGGATGGAAATGTCATGTGAAACAAGTCGGTTTGCCTGTCGAAATTTCTAGGAGATACTAATTTCTTAAAGATGGTTGAAGGAGGGTTCAGTTACACTCCAACGCTCCATCATAACGATATGGTATCCTGTACCTATTGTTCAACAAGTCTAGAAAACTGGGAGAAATTTGACCAACCATGGTGAGTTGTACCTACCTTTTCATGAAATTTCTGATTAAAAAAGGGACAAACATTTTGAGAGTTCACCCAGTTGTAATTTCTTCACACTAACATCAAATAATAAAGAAAGCTCTTCCAAACTAAACTCTACATCAAGAAGTAGTAGAGCGCCTAAAGCATCCAATTTGTCTGTACATTCTAACAGCACACTCGATTGTGTTATACAAACGACTGGCTTCTCTACTAAAAACGAAGAAGCAATCACCGGTCAGAATAAAAATGCTAGTATAAATACAAACAAAGAGGAAAAAGATGCAACTAGCAAGCCCAAGAAAACTAGGGTAAAGAAAGATGAAACATTACAAAATACCTACTCTTCATTAGCTGTACCAGAACCTTCTCGTAGCAGGAAGAGAAAGAGTGGTGGACTCTACTCATCTGACGGAGATGCCAATTCTTACCTTCCATCCAAGAGAGTTAGTACACGATCACGAGGAAGCATTGCAGCAGAGAAGCTTGTGGATGGTACCGCAAAAAAAACTTCACAGTTAAATACCAAACTAAGTCGCCGAAAGGTCAGATCAAACAGTAGGATCTCGACCACTTCCGAGCTATCCACGAAGGCTACTTCCTCGGATAGAATAGAAGTCCAGATAAGACCGAAAGCAGGCCTGGTCGAAAATTCAAACAGCGACCGGACTCGTGAGAGCTCAAAAGTAGCCAATTTTCCTGGCTTCAAGAATTCTTCGACCCGCACTGAGCCAGCTCAGAATGGTCCACCTGCCGCGAAAACAAACCTAAAGCCTCCCCCTAAACCAACTAAAACAAGAAGTGCGCAAGCAAATAAGTCATATCCACAAAAAAAAGTAGTCACAAAAAGGTCTACAGAAAAAAAAAATGAATCCAAAGACAGCATTTTTGCCCATAAACCTTACAACAAGCTAACTAATGAAACTTGCTCCCAAATATCACATTCCATTTTGAGCCAGAGCAGAGAAACATCCCCTACACGACATACAGTTAGAGAATTACGACACAGAGATATCAGAGAATCCAACGTTTCCTCCAGAAGTAACAACGAATCATTTACTGATAATCTGAATATAATTGGTACAGAAGGCACAACTGTAGACTCAGCGATTTACATTGATGAAGTCATAGCTAACTATCCATCTACTTATCCATCTACTTTGCAGAGTGCCGATTGCCATATCATTTCAACAGAAGAGCAGCAGGATAACAGAAAGCCCGAAGCAGAGACTCAAGAAGTTGTAAAAGTTCCCGATAATCCCAGCGAAGTTACAGCAACCCAAAGATCTACAAGAGCATCAGAAAGAAGGAAACCCCAAACTGTAGAGGAGAGCACCTCAGTTAAAGAGATCGTCAATACAACAACCCAACTTACTCCCGAGACATCTTACCTCAACGAAAAAGCTGTGGAGGCTATCATACCAGAACTAACCAATGCGGGAAAAAATTCATTGAAAGAATCCCCAAGAATATCTATGTCCTCTCAATTGACAATACGTGCGATATCAAAGGCCTGTACTTCAGGATCGCAGGTAGATTCGTCACCAATTAACGGATCAATCTCAGATAGCACTAGTAGGAAAATAATATCCCCATCTAAAAATCACAATTCAGAAGTACAGCATGTAGATTTATCTCGGTCCCCGCAATCTTCAGATGCTGAAAATCAGCCTCCGTCTTCTCTACCTTTTGCTGTTGCTATTCAGCCATCATCAGCTGGATCAAGTCGTCGCGGAAGGCCCGTATCTACTCTATCTATTCCCCCACGATCACCCCAGAAAAATTATGTCAACTTCCAGAATGGACAACCATGGACCGCTTTAGATCTCGACACAATCTGCTTGAGATCTCATACAACCGCCGTTGCTAGTAGCAATGATCTCTTTGGCAGAGAAGTTGACCAGGAAAGATTGAGTAAACTATCGAACTTGGAAAAAGCCATGACAGTAGAGAAATGGATTCTTCACAACGCCAAATTAGCAGAAGAGAAGCTTAAAGACCAGTGTGAGCGGATGGTCGGAATATTTGAGCGCGAAGGGATGAGAGCCATGCGCGCGCTTGAAGGCGTTGAGTGCCAAGATTGAACACATCACTGGCTTGATAGTAGTATTATATCCACTATATCTATGTCAAGTACTCCTGGATCTTGTAAATTTCTCTACAAAGAATAACGGTTTGTTGGTTGAAGCAAAAATGCTGTTTTTACTTCAAGCAACACATATCTCGGCTAGTGCTCTTTAAGAGAGTAAGCCGCAAGCCATACTAGGTCCATTTACCGCCCCTGTGAAATAAATCTACTCATAGAGCCTCCAGCCTTCAGGCAACAGATATCCGACATTGAGTTACTGAAGATGGATATTTTGATTTCGAGTCAATATCAAGGACGATATCCCGTGACTTATTCATCGTTATTCCTCAGAGTACGATCTCCATTCGTCTCCTCCCAAAATTCTAGCGTAAGCGCAGCTAGAAAACAGGGTATACTTCCGCGGTCTTTGCACCAGAAACGTATTTGATCGCAGATTTTGACGGCAAAGGCACTCTTAGGCCCACCGCTAATCTTCATGGTACCCTTATCCCCATCAAAAACTATACTATTCTCTTCATCATCGTGACTGGGGTAGTAGAATGAGCTAAGGCGTGTCTTACCATCGCGCATAAAGACAACATCCCATCCTAGTAGAGAAATGACCATTTGCCTAAATTCAGAAGATTTAGCACCCCAAACCTTCATTAATCGATCATTCCGCTTCTTTTCCGATGCTAAAGCCTGCTGTACTTCTGAGACTTCTAGTTGAGCAGCATCATACACCGAACGAGGAATTTGTGAGATAGGTACGACAGAATCCTGGAGTCTAGCGAGGAGGTCAGCATTTTCTTTTTTTAGTACCTTTAAAGTATTGCTCTTGATGGCTTCATATTCTGTGGTAGGGTTCGAGCGGACGGAGAGAATTCGGGTTTTGCTTTGTTGCATGGCTTCATCAAGACGCTGCTTTGTGAATAAAAGGTCTTTCTGTAACATTGTATTTTCGTTTTTAAGGTTATGAAGTTCAATTTGGACATTGCGAAGCTTGCGAAGTAGCTGGTCTTGACGGGAATCGTCAATAGGTTCTTCACGCTTGCGTTTTTGGGTCGAATCTTCTGCCGAGTTTTCCTCGGCTTTGGTGAGTTCTTGGTGTAGAAATTGTTGCTCTTGTCGATATTTCTCTACAAGATCTTCCAACTCTGAAATCAACTTTATCTTAGCCTCATCAATAGTGCTAGGCTGGAGAGTAGTATCATCGGTCTCGTAAGCTTTTAATTGAGCGCGAAGATACTCTACCTCTTTCATTGCCAAGTTTTTCTGTCTCTCAAGACGTAATTGAGCTTTGGTCAACGTATTTCCTCCGCTAGAGCTCGCATTGAAATTTTCTACTTGCTCTGCAAATTTTGCAACCTTCTTTTCAAGGTCTCGAGTAATGCTCACCTTGCTGGAAAGTTCCGCTTCCAGAGATCCGATACGTTCGACCAAGGTAGCTGTCTGAAGGCGCTCGGCTACAAGAGCTCTAGCCATTGACTCAGGGGAGTCGAATTTATCTGTGCCTCCAGATTCAGCTTCTCTTTCAAGATAAGCCGTCCATGTGGACCGTTCGTCCTCCAATATCTGACGTTGCATTTTCGCTTCTAAAAGTTGAGCTTCAAGATCTTTCATGCCATCGATTCGCCGCTGAAGATACCTTTTTTCCTCTTCAACTACTTCCACGCTTTTGTAAATACTTTTGTAGTGATTCAGCTCAGCTAATATATCTTTTATATGGCTTTCTAGTTTTTTGATATGTAATACCTGTTCACTCAGCTGCCTCTTTACAACACCCAAAGTATCAGTATCGCCGGTCAGGGCTTTGAGTCGTAGAAGTTCGGCCTCTAGTTGGCCGTACATAGTTTCTTTATGGGCTAAATCTCTTTGTGATACCTGGAGCAATGTATCTTTCTCGTCAAGTCTCCCCTCTAACATCTCCATCGTTTGTTGCATTGACTGGTTTCGGGACTCTAACTCAGACTTCTCCCTGTCCAAGCCTCGCACACGGTCTTCCCCTTCAGACTTTAAGTCATTAAGGGCTTCTTCTTGGATTCTGATAGTTTCACTAGCTTCCTTGAGCTTTCGCTCCAATTCCAACCTGTCACTACTAGCGTTATCCCGAATCTCCGTCATTTCCTTAAGCATTGCTTCCAACTGTCTCGTAACTTTGGATCGCTCTGATTCTGCCAATTGCATTTTTTTGAAATCCTCTTCGGCTCGACGCACTGTATCACGGAGCTCATTCTCATGGTACAGCTTCGTCAACTCTTGCTCCTTCTTGAGGTGATCCAACTTGTAATGCAACGCTTTATTTTCCACTCGCATGTCACCAAGTTGCTTTTTGCACCACTCTTGGCTGTCCAAAGATTCTTGGATCCATTGCGGCTCATCCGTGGTGGGTAATAAGGTTGTGGATTTGCGGAATCTGTCCGGGCGCGATTTGGAGGCAGTCGGAGGGATTTCGTCCCGTAGAAAATCAAATGTTGGCTGTGAGTTTAGTGCTCGACTGTTTGCTATCTAAATATCGAGGTCAGCTGTAAGTGTTGGGATTCGACACGCATCACACGGCTGACGCTGTCATCAGGAAACTGACCGTCGTTCGAACTCGAGGAATGCTACTTTCGATGTGGTTACTCTTGTCGATTGTGGCACTAACGAACGGCTGGCCTGAAGATGAATCGGTAAGGCGCTGTGGTGTTTGCGGCTGCATAGTGTTCTTGAATACTCTGGTGTACCAACGGGTGTAAGGGTCGACGCCAGTCTTGCATCAAAAGCACATCACGTGTAGTTGCCCTAAATTAAATGGAACTTTTAGGTTATACTGATTGAGCACCCTTCGTCCTCAACCCGTACCGCACGGCTATAGATCGCCTATATAACTCACTCGAGTTGATTCAACCTTTGAGGAAATGGTTGGAAGTATCCAAGATCTACCAGCAAGGGACTTTCTGGTCTTCTCGGACGACATAAAGCAAAAGATGTATCCGCAGGGGCAGAAGTTGTCCTATTAAGAGCATATCTATTGCAAAATTGAGAGTCCTCTTTGACCCCGGGTTTGAGGTCTATGATTCTGGTTGCAATAACCCCTGGCTGGGCTCATTGCCGCCATAACAGCTACTTCTTCCCACTCTGTGACTAATATCCACGTGGTTTTAGACAATCAAAAAGCAGTAAGACGTCAGCTTGACCTCTCTACCTCAAGGATATCGCAGGAAGAACTTATGGGATTTCGGCATCTGGCTCCTTTGTGGCCGTCGAGTAAACCTATGCCAAACGCAGTTCCTCTCAATATCCAGGTGATGTGGTCATTTCTGGGAATGAGTTGGTCGAGTAGTTGGGAGGTATGGCTGCCCTACCGCTTACCTCTTTTTTTTACATCAGATTTTAATCACGTATGCAGCGATCTGTCTATGACACGATATTAGAAACAAGGTACATATTGGGTGACATAATTTCAACCTAGAGCTCTTACACCTCTGATTTCAATCGCAAGTACCACTGCGAAGTTATGGTGGCTTTTTCTTCACCAGAAGTCAACCCTCATCCGTGAATACCCACCCAGAGAAACGACTCACAAACCATGAGGTATCCAGACACGCCTCCATAATTTATTTTCTTTTCTCCGCGCGAAACTTGATCTTAGTTGTCTCCCCAAGTGGAGTAGGTGCTTAGGCCACACAAACCATACCGGAGACAACCAACAAGAGGCGGACCACAATGCTATGGCTTATGAGCCGGTTATTGTCTTGTAGCACGTGATTGTAATCATAAGCTGTTATAATTCTACTGTTGTTTTTCTTGATTTCATCTAGCCCGTTCAGGTACCCTGTGTGCCCATGCAGGTATATCTGGCTATAACATTTACTGGTGAGCAAACTAATTCGCTAAAAACCACCCAAAACTGTTTGTCTCGTGTCAGTTGGTGTTCTAAGGTGTCCTACAGGAAGTGCGTGGGGGACTATTCTCAACACCTATCAGTGGTGTTTCCTACGAACCTCAAGATCTCACTGCAGAGTCTGCAGAGCCGAGATTGAGTAACACCTTTTCAACTTTGAGCTGAGTTATCTCCCCCTCCGTCAAAGATACGCTTCCGATAACACCTAAGACGACCAAGATTACGATAATGATTCTGGGAATGAGGAAAGAAAATGCGGTACCAAACGCTACAACAGTGGTCAGAGAAGACCTCGTTATATCACAGCATGTCCTACCCACCGGCGGGCGAACAAGAAGCCCACGAAAGCAAAGTAAAAAACCCTTCAGCCCTCAAGAAAAGCAGATTTCGACTCGTCTACAATATCGTCCCTACTAACCTATACTTCCGAATGTACTATCCAGGAGGGCATCTAAAATACATGAGTTACCCGACGACCCCACGTCCGTAACGACTTCTGGATGCTAGGCTAGGCTCCTTCACGGCAGTCACTTTCGGCCAATACTTTTCTGACATCCTTTCACGACCTTCGGTTTGTCCTGCGGTATGAATCATAGGAGGAGTATGGATGAAGCTAAGAAGTTTGAGAGGCGCTCATGGGTATACACAGGTCTGCTGCGTCCGGCTGGCCGGCCTCTGTCATAAGAGAGCCTCGCACCCAGCGATTTTTGAGACTTTTCCCTATAGCTACAGACCTACAAATTACCATCGTTTCGTTGACTATAGATGGGAGATAATGACGGGATAAAAGCTCCTCTTATTGTGTACTTGAATGAAAACCTATGGAGGGATTACAGCTGGAACGTGTTGTAATTAAGGCGGTAACATGACTGCAGTAGACAAATAGTAAATATTAGAGCAATGTGCACTGGCGCAATGAGATATGATTAACCCATATAATCACCCATTGGCATGAATAGTAATTAGCCAATGGATACCTGACAGCATACATTGGCTTTAGGATTTCCAACAACCTTCCCATTAGATTAGAAAGGGAAATACTTTGGACTTCGCACTACTGTGGTGTCAAGGTGTCAAGTTTGTAGTGGGGCTTTGACAGGGGTTTTAGCGTGTAAACTAAGACGCCTTAGGCATAGTCACCTTCCATATTGGAGTTAGCCCCCGTATTTGTGAAAATTTTTGAAAACTTTTGTATGGCAGGTTTTATCTGGGCACCATAGTTTGCAGTAGGTCTTCCCTTTGTACTAAACCTAATTTGTATAATGATCGGCTGCATAACATTTGTACATTTTTGCAACTTGACTTAATAACTTATTTACAAGAGTTCAAAGGTTTTCAAATTACAAAATAGAGCCTGTCTTATCCTAACCTTAGATCTGAACATGAGGCTGGAATATTTTCAGGCCTTAATATCAGGTCGGTCCCCCATCCGCATCTACCACAGCCTGACATCTTGCTGGCATACTCTGAATGAGTCTCACAAGATCTTCAGAAGACACAGAATCCCATGCCTCCTTTAAAATGTTGCGAAGACTATCTTGAGTTCGCTGCTTTCTGCAGCTCAGTGTAACGGCTACAAAGCCGATATTTCCTGTAGCCAGTACTGGCAAGTACTGGCGTACAACCACCGGAGAACGGGCAGGCGCAAAAGCCACATAAAAGATACTAGAATCTCCTAAGAAGGGACTAGAAAAGTCTCCATGTGAGTAAGACTGATACTGAACCTTGGAGAAGCTGCTAGAAATGATACCCTTAGAGTAGCAACTGGAATCATCTAGAAATGAGCTGACCATGGAGGGAAGAACTTAGAATGTAATAAATCTGTATATATACCTGGATTAGTATGTAGAACTTAGGTCTTCATAGTTGAATTATAAAATACCATCATCCATATAAATGCTCCTTGCTTTCTATAGTTGATCTGTGACATTGACGGTATATTTTATGTATCTTCTTTGTGTATAAATACTTGTTACTAGACCTCTTGTTATATTAACTAGGCTATATGGGAGCAGGACGATGGATACTCTTGTTGAAATGTGATATATCTTGGAATGCCAAGAATAACTTATTAGTAAGTCCGGCTAATTTGACTATCAAATTCCCCATTATATATCACTGTTATCAATATATCCTTCACCGAAAGTATAATGTGCATTAGCGTCTGTTTGTCACGGATCAAGGAACAGGCGCTGGTGCAACTATGTGGTTGATAGTATGTAAATTATCATTCTGAAGAGAAAACTACTTCAGTCTCTATCTATACATATATATACATTGTCTATGTGGTTGAGGCACAGTCCCTCCCTCTCGGTTCCAATGGGATTCTTCACATGTGTTGTAGCTGTATGGTCCAATACTGCTGTCCTGCCGAACTAGATGCCGATGCCTTGATATTCTGTTGAGTGGCATCATATATCCACACATTGATGTCGATCAATCGTGCGCTACCAATATCAGGCTAGGCTCATGTTGGCCAACATGCGCTACAGGAACCAATCGGCTTACCAGCCGTTACATTGTTTCACACTAGAATTCCAGCAGATGACTATGTCTCAAATGCAGGTTATAGTTTTCTTGTATCTATTACTGACACACATGTAATTAGCTCTATATTCCTGGCCCATATATGTGTATGTACATAGATCTACATCTGCATGTCACGGACTGGCCCTGTAATGTTGTGTAGCACCTGGCAAACCGTGTCATGAGTGTACACAAATCACAGTTAATGCGTTGCAATAGTTACAGTGTTGCGATGGCAACAGTTATCACCCAAGATACCAGTTAGTTGCTATGATACGGATGTAGGCTATGGCATCACTGGTTATGGTGACTGCCCTCATGTACTTAAGGGAGCTCTGAGACTGTAATTGGACTGTAGCTACTTGTCTTGTAATTTACTTACTCTCTTGGCCTCATCTTCGTCCTCGTCTCCATCTTCGTCCTCGTCCTCGTCTTCATCTTAGTCCGCATCCTCGTCCTCGTCTTCATCTTAGTCCTTGTCCTACTCTCCGTCCTCGTCCTAGTCCACCGTCCGTGAGACCTGACACTGCATGGATCATAACTTACGATCCATGGAGATTGATAAATACTGGTCAAAAACCACAGTTGATAAGATATGCGAACACGCAATCTCACTCTTATCATCTCGGCTTTTACTCTGAACCATACATCTAAATACAATTGTTTCCACTCGGATCTTCCTCTCACAACCTCATACAAGACTTACTGCATTGTTCTAACCGCCGACACTGATTCCGCTACAACCTCCATCGCCGCTCAAGGTCATAACTTTAACAACTCTTGGGGAAGTTATTTGCACAGTAGGTCTCTATAGTCACTGTTGCGTGTGTTCTCGTGATATGTAAGACTTGACTCTATTTTCTCGTATAAAGGAAACTTAGTTACAATGAATGGATGGAGGTTGAGACCTCATTGTGTCTTGCTCCAGTTTCACGGATCTGTAGTTAGAATTTTAATACTAATTTTAATTCGTGATAAGATGAAGGGGTAGTTAATTAAAGACATCAGTTTGATAATAGCTTCCCCTATACAATTAGTCGTGTAAAAAGTCATGTAAGGATATGCAAGAGAGTCATGAAGAGAAGGACAAGAACACAGCCATTAATGCGAAGATACTGGCAAGAATTGATTACGATTAATTCCGGTTGGCAAAGGCTTCTACTCTTGTATATAATAGTTCGGCGTGAGAGAGATATACTCCTCACGCAACGTCTTCTTTATTTACCCTTTACAATACATTTGTTCACCCATCTCTTCTTCGGGAAGACCATATATCCATTGCCCAGTTC